ATTTCAATTCTTCGGCAAACACGCTAGAATGGAGATAAACAAACACTTCAGAATGTATCTGATGCAGAATTTCTTCCTCCTTCCAGCTACTAAACTCATATTGTGTTTTGTTGAGAGAGTGATGAGATATTTGCTAGAAATTGCAACCATTCGTTTTTACCATGCCCAAATTTCACTGATTTTCAAAAATTTTATACGCGACTTTTGGAAGAGCTCTAATAACCACCAGATAGGGCAAGCCTGTCGCCAACTCAAGCAACTTTTTTCTTATTTTAGCTGCTTTTCAGATTTCTAAATGATTTTCTTATTTTAAATAATTTTCTAAAAGTCTTGTGTTCTGGAAATTCGCATAATCTGTTATTGCACCAAACACTGCAAAACCTACAAAATACTAAGGTTTCAACATTCGATTATTACTACCGCTACCATTTCAAAGTAGATGAGCGATTTTCGCTTCAAATTATAGATTTTGAAACATAAGTTACGTCAGTGAGCACTGCTGGAATTGAGAAATTTTTACCCAAAAATTTCGCCTGCCTGCAAAAAAAGGCAGGTGTTAGAAAAAAAAGGAAAAGTTGCATCGATTGGTGAGTGAAGTGTTCAACATTTTATGTTCTACGAAGTTAAAATAGGCTGAATGTAAAATTTGGTCACTTCAAAAAATAAAACGTAGAAATTCTAAAAAAACAAGCCGAGGTAAAAAATTGCTTCTGTTGGCAAAACGTTTGCTCCTGCCGGTTGTTAGCGCTCCTCCGAAAGTCTCGTACAAAAATTTTGAAAATTAGTGAAAGTTGAACTTGATAAAAACGAATGGATGCAATTTCCAGCGAATATCTCATAACTCTCTCATTGAAACACAATATTTAGGATCTTAAAAGAAGAGAAAATTCTGCATCGGATACATTTTGAAGTGCTTGTTTATCTTCATTCTAGCTTGTTTGCCGATGGATTGAAAAAAACTGACAAAACTTTGCACCGAGCGAATATTATGAATAGGAACGACGAGCATTTAAGATACAAGCTCGTGGAGTTAGAAACGACGAGCATTGAAGAGACAAGCTTTTGCGTCGCTTGAAAATTAGAAAAAGGCATAAACTACTACCTTCATGCCGCGGAGTTACTGCAAAGAATGCACAGGCACATCGCTTATTCACAATTTTCAAGAACTTGCATCTATGCATTTGAGTGAGTTTGTATGTAGTAATCAGCGCTTACTGTTTCATTTGGAATTTGAGGCCATGGAGCTGACTATTAGAGTACAACCAGTACTATTAAAGTGTGTTTAGGCACACACTATTTTGTCCTATACTGTAAAGAAGCAAAAAAGACTGAGACGACGAAGCAGATTTTCGATGCAATCTATCAGCTATCGCTAAGGAGCTTGCTGTAAATGATTCTCGATAACACTAAACAGATGATCTGATAATTATTTATTGCATCACTAAAACACACCACTCAGCTCTTCTTGATAAAACTATTGTCATCAAATCACCGATTTACTTCAGAAATCATAATCGGCTAAAAATCTGGCTGAAAGACGTTTACGAAACGTTTGCCGTAACCGAATATTATACTTAGATGAAAATAAACAGAATGGGGTTCCGAATCACGAAGCATGCAGAAGCGCACGTTGTAATCTAATGGCCCTAAAAAAATAAAAACTATGAGTACAAAAGGAAGTTAGTACTTGCTTTTGTAGAGCATAAATTCAAATTTTTTACAGTCTCTGGTGTGAGTTCAAAAGAAGCATCATGCACGACAATTATAGTGTAGTTTTGTGTTTACATGTTTAAACACAAATTCACAGCATGTTGTCAAAAATTCAATGGAGAGAAATGAACTTTGGGCGTTCATTCATCAGGCCTTGATCGAAGTGAGTATTTGCAACGATACTTTATTCGAAAATTTTTTTGACACCTCTGATATTGACAATATTTTGACATCTAACATTTCGGTAAGAAACAATTTTGAGCACCATATTCATAAAAATACCATTCGATTTTGAGCATTGCAAAATTCAATTGACGGCAATGCGACTGGGGTAATTTATTGAGTTGCGTGATTAAACAAAGATTCCTCCACGCCGAATGGCAGAATTATCTGAAAGCTCCAAAAGCATCGTTAATTGTTATTCGACATACTTGGTCACAAGCAACGCACACTTAGTCACGAGTTGCGGGCTGGTTCAAGGACTAACAAAATTTTTTGTTACAATCTGTCAAGAGATTTTCTTTATCTAAATCTTCAAAGCTGATTATATACAAGCGATTAAAAAAAGACTCGCATGTGACTGATACAGGGTTATATAAGTGTAAACAAGGAGGTTGTCTCCGTGTCAATCATACGCTCTTGATTTCTCGCTCCAAATGTTGTAGGCTTGCCTTCCACAAATATTCCTATCGAGGCCACGGGTGCAAGCCTCCAGCAGAATCCATTACAGTCAACATTATATCACCCTATTTTGCAACCGCTTACACTGCCGACAAAAGTACTATGTGATAGGTAAAACAGAAATGTTGACCTTTTCTTTTCTGGTATCCTAGCACAGCCTTATTTGAAGAGGTGCATTTATACCATGAATTCCAGAGTATACAATGAAATTCTTTCTTTTCACAACCCTGCGCTTTGCTTCTTGGTCAGCAGCGAGGCACTCATGTGTGAACTTTGCAATCCTCTAGTGAACAAGGCAGCTTCGCTTCATGCAGAGTCGAGGTAAATACTTTGAGAGTTTGCAGAGTATACAAGTACTTGTATGTAATGCAACAATCCTGACATTTGGGTGATCATTAGAGCGACTTCCTCTTCAACATTTCCTCTCCTCTGCTAGAGTTTGAAAGAACAAATGGGTCTCGGCCTTTGAAAAAAACGCGCTTTTTTCAAATTGCCTGCGCAGTTGGTGCGATTAAGGGAAGATAGTAAAATCAAAGCGGCAAAGGTGTAGTCGCTATAAAGGACTATTTGCTATCCTTGTCCCGGCCCTGGTTCACATTTCTGACAACCCTACAAATTTCATTCGTAATCTATCACTGCTGTGTTTGCGAATTAGAAATTATTTTGTAAGCTTTTGTAAAGTGCATAAATACCTTTTTAGACAAGTTCAAAATTTCGGAAAAGCAAATGCTTTGGAATGTAAGATCCCATAAACTTCTCAAAATGGTGCTAACTAATCGGGCCAAACTAATATATTCACGGGAGCGTTTTTATAGGAATATCAAACTGTGATTAGGATATCATTACGCTTGGAAGGTACATCTCACTGTAGTCTGTGCAACTCACAATTTTTTTCGTGAGTTGAAGAAAAGACAGACGTGGGTGCCATACGTGTGAGACGAATTCAGTGGTATAAATTCTATCAAAGGTATCCGCATCTTAAAAATTTTCGGCTACTGCAATACATAGGGAGTAATTCAGTTGAAAGATGTCAAATGCTCATAAATATCGAACCATTTGTAGAGTTTTTTTATTCCCTTACGCATTTTCACAGCATACTTTAATTAGTCTTGCTATCATCTCCTCCCCGGTATATTTGGACGGAGCACTTGCAGAGAACTCGTTCGGTGATCTTATGCACCCTCTATTGCAATATTCTTTGTAATCTCTCGCTACCAACCCTGTCACATAAGACAACATATGATATATATGTGGCGTACAAAGAACTAGACCTGCAGTTGAGTTTTGATAAGTCACCAATACGTTCGAACCCAACGTACAAAGGGGAGGCAACGATACTAGACGCGTTTATCAATCCCTTATTTAGGAATGGGATTCCTGTATAAGTAACGGCCCCGTACGAACGCGGGCGCTAGCGCCCGCGATACACCAAGCCAAGCTGGTGATCGAGCTTCTCTATCGGTGAATATGGCCCGATCTGGCAAGTTTGGCCATGTTGGGCACAGCAGCCTGGCAGCGGAGTTGATTGGGGTTCTCTCCTGTTCGGGCAATCGTTAATCATGGCCCGAATAGCTAGTTGGAGATTGGTAGATAATTCATTCAAATCTATAAAATCACTGGAGCTCTAATGCATAATGTGCTATAAGATCTAACTTAGGAGTGCATGACTAGCAAGATATGTGATGTACAGGTTTCAAGGGGTGCTCACATTCACCGGAGACACAATAGGTGTTTTTAAACAACTAGTTCTCATAAATGTGACGCAAAATGTCTGCGAAATTTGGACCTTCGAAAGGTTATAATTTTTCCATAGTCCGACATCGCGTATAATTAAAGTGTTGGATTAAGGCAAAAATTTTTGTGTGCTGATTCCAAGCAACTCTTTTGATAGAGGAATCTCGATTGAAAAGATTTTGACAGTATTAGGAACACCCGACCTTCAGTAACTTCCTGGTCATCCTCTTTTCCATTTCGTTAAATTCCTTCTTTTGTGCATAAGCATGTGTAGGCAAAATTGCCCTTGCTAAGTTCTGCTGTGGCTCAAAAACAACCCATTTGATAGTCTATAGCTTTGGAGAGTCAAGGGAAAATATAAGCAACCGAAAACTTTGGGTAGAACTTGATTGAACGCAAGCTTTATTTGCTTCTTTTTTCAAAAGGCAATTACCAATATTATTGTTTAAAGAGAGAAGCTGATGAATTTACAGTTGAACAAGCAAAATAGTTGGTGACAGAATTGCATATTGTGCACGACTTCATAATGTTTTAATTTTGACTTACACTCCGACATCGTCTTTTACAAATGCCTAGGAATTACATAGCAGGAAAATCAAATTGTAAACTCGTGATTTCCTTTGCTCTCAGAAGATCATTTGTTTTGGTAGAGGACTATATGTCGCCGAAAGTGGGAGGATTTAACGCGGATGATGCAGCAGTACTCATCCTGTGCATGTGCTAAAAGGTGTATTTGTGTCCAACTGAACCTCCCATTTTCGCCTACATATAATCCCATAACCCATTTGTTTCTCTATCAATTATGCCGAAGTCTCGTGTTTTCGTCGTTTTATCAAGCGCTCTATGTACCGCTTATTTCTCAAAATATTATTTTCAGGCATTTCACGTCAGTTCGACAAGAATGAGAATTTTCAACCTTACCTTTTTGTTACTTACCATCTTGGTGGTACGTTGACCAAGCAAGACATAATATAGTTTACGATTTGACTCCATAGACTTGCTGACTTTACACTACTTTTAAAGCTTACAGATTCTCTCTGCTGTGGACGTTGGTGAATGCGGAGTTATCGATAAAGTAAGAGCAGTATTCGAAAACCTTCCGACCTTCGCTGAAAGTTTGAAAAGAATTGCACAAGCAGTTAGAAACGTCAGAGAAGCAAATGGTGCATTACCTGTACCTCAAGATGGAAAGTGATGTTTTGTGCTCGATTGTCGATAAATCTTGGCATGGTGATTCAATTGTGATACAGACATTCCGTCCGTCCACCTTCATCAGGACTTTTTGAAAGATTGACACTTTAAGAACTGCCTGCTCAAACGCCCTGTTTGGCAGTAAATTCAGTCTAACTTTTCTGATGGATTAGCGAATAGATGTGTAAGCCTGACTTCAGCCTTTTCAAATCGGAATGTAGAGAACGAACAACCAGTACTGCGCTGCTGCTGCACTATGAGCGAGTATGATAATCACTGCACACAATGCCCTTATATGGTTATGAAGATCTCGTATTAGAATCCACACAGGTTTGATAGGAAAACATTTGATGTTTATAGTAATGCCTTCATCTTTGCGGTTCATTTTTGGTGGTTGAAACGCTATTCAAAAGGCCTCCAATGTTTTGCGGCCATTGACTCCGATTCGTGCGACAAGATTGTGACAGTGACTTGAAAGTACTGTTCCCACGACATAACCTTCGATGTGCACCCAAAGGTGTGGACATTTTGGATTTTCTAAGGCATCAAGATGTTTTGATTCTTCTGCACGAGGGTCTGCCGATGTTTCTTATGTATTGGTCACCGTATTTTTTGACAGGTGAGATATACCACTCCTAATTCCATGCAGCCGTATAGTTTTTCAAAGCTCAGATGATACAATCGGCGGTCTTGCATATTCTGTCGTACTCTCGATTTAGAAGCAGGGATATCTATAACTTTGACAAGATCATCGAGGCCTGCTGGAAACAAAGACTTTTTTATAGTTTTGCTAAAATCATCAGATACGAAGAACACAAACCGATATTTTTGCAAGAGCTAGAATTGTTTTTAGCTACATAGAGAACGTCGGATTCAGCATAGAATACAATCTCAAATTCGAGTTCAGCAGAAAAGGAAAAAGAACTGTTTTAAAAAACATCTTCACATGTACAAGCAGACAGATTCATCAAAAAATAAAGCTATATGCAAATCTAATAATTTTTGTCTGTACAGAGAGATTATTTGGCTCAACGGGTGCACATATCGTTGGACGACCGTTCCGAATGCGCCATTAAGTCAAGAATGTTTTATTTTCTTTTGAATATCACACATTGGCAATAATAAGCTGCATTCGATAACCTGTAAATGGAACAAACTATTGACAATTTCTAACTGAAACCCGAACTTACATGCTATCATAGAGAGGTGATAATTTAGCAGAACAAAACCAAAAGTATAAACATTCACAGTAGACTGCTAGATAGAAGAATGTATTAATTTCTAGAAAACACTGAAAGGCTAATTTTGAATGATCTTTGAGAACAACCTTTATCTCTTAAAATGCGTCACGCAGCCGTAAGCATCAGATCAGCAGAAATGCGGTAAAATATCAGGGCCAGTAGTAATTCCCCCAAAGTCGTCACAACTCAGAGAAGACGCGGTCATAACCGTTCAATGCGAGCCACAAATTGGGCATGAAGGGCGTTGGCCGCCTTCGCAAAAAGCCCTGCGATCAGCAAAAGCAAAAAAAGACAATAGTTTTGATGAAAAGTGCATAAATTGCAAGAAATTATAAAATTATGGCATGCAGAAAATTATCAAGAGCAAAGTGGCTGCAAAACAAACATCGAAGCTAAAAACCGCTTAAGAGAAGCAAATTTGGCTGGAAAGGACTCGAAGGTGCATGCTTATCAAAATCGATTTGCCTTGTCTAAGTTGCGAGGCAAATATCAGAAGTAATGATAGCAGGGAGAAAAATTAGCTGTGCGACTCGCGTTGTGCGCTATTCTGTTCATATTGATTGTATTTGACGTGCGTTTTGATCCTTTGCGTGCATCTACGGACAGCGGGCGCACCACCACCCCGGACGTACTCGACGCTAGTCGTTTGTCGACACCACGACTTCTCTGCATTTCCTGATTGTCTGCACGACGTGCACGCTGGTGCTGCCTTGTCGTGCCGGCGGCGTTGCCGCAGCGTTATGCCAGGCATATGCCTTGGTCACGTCGCCTATCCCTTATCAGGGGGGGGGGGGGGGAGGCACTAGAAAGGCACTTGCCGTGTTCCGAGCGAGTCGTCACGACTCGAGTGGGGTTTACTACAGGCCCAGATAGCTTCCACACTCGCAAATATGTTGTCAGTAGTACCAACCGGCAAATCAACAATAATTACATGGATTTTAGTGTACTCAACAAAGGCAGGAATAGTCCAGAAATCTAAGAAATGGAACGCAAACACCATGCATACAATACCGCTCATATTCCGTCAAAGAAAGTCGCCGCACTTTAGCGGACTGCGCCACAGTGCGCTGTAGTGCGTCGGAGCGCGGCAGAGTGTGCCTGAGCGCGCTAGAGTGCGTTCGGAGAGCAGCGGAGTGCGACGCACATTACTAAAGTGCGCCGGAATCCGCGTCGCATCGTCATATCCCGCTTCAGAATGAACTTATTTTGAACCCAAAAATACTGTTCGATTCAACTTGGCGAAACGCACCATGCAGTATAAAGAAGTGACCCAATTGTAGGAGTACGCAGGTATATGGTTAACAGCAAGTTTTTGCTCAATTTTGCAGGTTTTTGTTTGACTGGATAGTCCACTTCGCTGATAACGATATTGCCGTTGATTTGCTCTGATGGCCATTGTAGGGATATCGTAGGAGTACGGTAGAGAGTTACTGTGTTCGAATTTGTTCTGAAATGAGCTCAAGGTACTATACCGCCCGCTCACAGAATGTGCAAATTTTCCGCGAACGTCGCGGAACTATGGGAACTCCGCGAATCATGGGAATCACGCAAACACAGCGCCAGACTTCCTTCGAAATGAGTACATTCTGCCGGAAGCAGTGTTGTGTTCAGTTGCCCTCTTTACTCCAATTTCAGTATTCTTAAATCTTTCTGCGGAGGCTTTTTCGCAAATTGTAACGCAGCGCCTATCCAACGTAAGAGATACCAGTAAGTACTATTCGATAGTACTGTTGTAAATTATAATACACTAAAAATTGGCCTAAACTTCTTTACAAAGGAAAGAGAAGGGCTGATGAGTTCTGAAGAAATTTTGCGTCGTCCCATATTCTATTCATCATAACCCTAATATACAAAGCTGGCTTAAGCAGATATGAATTTCGTAATCAGCAGATCAGATAACCCCTATGAGCAAGATTTCAGAGAACTTCGAATTTTTCTCATTTCACGCTGTGGGGGCTCGCCAGTGGGTTCACCGAAATGTTGATGATTTTGGTTTGAAGGAAAACTCCGCTCATAGAGTAATGTGAAACGCGTGAGTCGTTGACGATTTATTAGGAAAACACAAAAACCCCTCTCTGCCTATCGGCGTACATGCCGAGGGTTTACTAGGAATATTTCTATAACAACACGTAAATATATCAAGGTCGGTGGGTATGCCGCAACCACAGAGACCACATCCACTTAGTTTACAATGAGCGAGCAAGTTCACTATATCTATATGGAATGGCTCTACAACACCTCCCTCTTAAGATGAACAACTACATCCTATAATGAGGGTTTATTTGTAGACGTTCTAGCGTGCGATGGAGACTTGGTCTGGTTAATGTCGGTGACGTAGTCGAGGTGGCTTGGTGTTCAGCAGCAATTACACCGTTGTTACGTCGGCCTTCGTCGGGATTGAACTGTGTTGAGTCACTAAGTGGCCATCTCCCATAAGAACATCATATACGACTTTTCCGTAGCGTTGCTCCATGTGTGCTGGAACACATTTTTCATATCCAGAGCGAAAGTCACGAACCCACACAGCCTCTTGTGATTGGTACGCTTTCCTTCGTGCACCATGGTGGCGGTTGAACTTTTTCTCCATAGCTTCATTGCCCATTCTTTTTTCTCTGGCTCTTCATTCAGCAGCGACAGTGGTGTCCTTATCTGACGTCCCAGGACCAGCTCGGCAGGCGAACGTTGTCCTGAGGTCGGCGTACAAGGCGTCCATCGATAAGACTTCAGAAACTCCGTGAGCTTTTCCCGTTCCTCTTTCCTTAATTTTCTGGAAGGTTCTCTTGAAAATCTCCACAAACCTCTCCACTTGTCCATTTGATTGTAGGAATGGAGATAAACGCATATGCTTGATTCTTCGCTCTTCACAAAAACCTTGGAACTCCTTTGCTGTAAACTGCGTCCCATTATCCGACACGATCACTCAGTCCAAATCGTGCGAATAGAGATCTGAGTTCTCTCAATGTAGCTGTAGTTGACGATGAAGACATTTCAAACACTTCTGGCCATTCCGACTAAACATCACTACGACGAGATACATCTTACATTTAGCGGTCCTGCGTAGTCAATGTGAAGTTGATTCCATGGTCTGTCTTTCACTGTCCATAAATGCAGCAACGTCTTCATTGGCAGTTTGGAGGCTTCTTGACATTCTCTGCAGCGGCGCACTGAATCTTCAATTTCTCCGCTTACAAGGGAAGGAAGGTGGGTTAAAGTGACCTTTCAAAATGAGGTGGGTATCATCTTGTAGGGCTTCGAACGCTGATTTCAAATCTGCTTTCCTTATCTGCGGCGCGTTTTTGGGCGAGGAGTTATGAGGGTTTTTAGGGGGCGGAAGTCGATACAAGTACAATCAAGGAGAGCACGCCCTTGTGTGCTGTCTTGTGTAGGGGTTAGTGTGGTGGTCTTGCAGGCAGAGGCTCCCTGGTTCGAATCTCCTGTTGTGGTTTTCGTTTTGCTGGTCATACAAAAAAATTGTATGAGCGTGGGCAGCGTTCAGACACCACCCCATGTTTCTTTTATAGAATCTCGAGGCAACAAGTGCTCTCTCTGAAGGTCGTTGCAAGTGATTTGAAGTGGAGGTAAAATGTCAAGAGAATCAATTCGTCACGTAACACCCCGGTTAACGTAAGAGTACACAATGTTCTCAACGTATGAAAAATGCCTATGTTTTGCACATTTTGTCCTCTCCTTTCATCAGTGCACATGAACGTTTGGAAATATAGAATAATAAAAATTTGAAGAGATTGGTAGTTAGAAGAAGGAAGAGGTGGTGTATAGACAATACGCGTGCTCTACAAATTT